GGTGAAAGGGATTCCTTTCTTCAACTCTGCCTCATTCAACTTGTTTTTCATAAATAGAAATGCTATAGATTTTTGGATGTTGATTTTGTATCCTGCCACCTTACTGTATTCACTTATTACTTCAAGTAGTTTTTTCATGGACACCTTTGGGTCTTCTAAGTATACCATCATGTCATCTGCAAATAAAGATATTTTCAACTCTTCTTTGCCTATTCGAATGCCTTTAATATTGTTCTCTTCTCTCATTGAAATAGCTAAGACTTCCAGTACTATATTAAAGAGCAGTGGAGAAAGTGGGCAGCCTTGCCTAGTACCTGTTTTCAGAGGAAAAGCTTTCAGCTTTTCCCCATTCAGTATAATGTTAGCTGTAGGTTTTTCATAGATTGCTTTTATTGTGTTCAGAAATGACCCTTCTATACCAATCTTACTGAGAGTCTTAATCATAAAAGGGTGTTGTATTTTATCAGATGCTTTCTCCGCATCAATTGAGATGATCATATGGTTTTTATCTTTCTTTCTATTAATGCGGTGTATTACATTTATGATCTTGCATATATTGAACCACCCTTGCATCCCTGGTATAAAGCCTACCCGGTCGTGGATGATCTTTGTTATATGTTGTTGAATACGATTTGCGAGTATCTTGTTGAGAATTTTTGCATCTATATTCATCAATGATATTGGTCTGGAGTTTTCCTTTTTTCTCATGTCCTTATCTGTTTTGGGGATGAGGATGATGGAGGCTTCATAAAATGAATTTGGAAGGTTTCCTTCCTTTTGACTCTTTAGAAATAATTTTAGTAGGATAGGGGTTAACTCTTCCTTAAAAACTTTGTAGAATTCAGAAGTGAAGCCAAGTCTGGTCTTTTGAAGGGAGTCCTACAATGAAACCATACAGTTGTATCCTTGGGTCTGGGCTTCTTTCTTGCAGCATAATGCAACATCTGGCAGGAGTCTCCCATGCCTCTGGCCCTGGTCTGTCTGTCCTTCAATGCTCAGCACGCTTCCATTGTATGCACTACCACCTGAATGGCTGCTCATTCGTTGTCTCCAGTTTGGGGTAATTAAGCATAGAACCACCTTAAATGTGTTAGCTAACAGGTTTTTGTGTGAACTTGTTTTCATTCCTCTGTCAAATGTCAGTTTAACATGCAGGAAACTCACAGGCTGTTTCTCAAGTGGCTGTACCATTTTGTTCCTCACCAGTGCAGTATGAGGGTTCTGGGTGCTCAGTATGTGCCATCCCATGGTACTGCCTGTACTTGTCATGTTAGCCATTCTGATAGGTGCTATGAGGCATCCCATCACAACTTTAATATGCATTTCCCTAATGGTGAGTGACACTGAATAGTGTCTTTATGTGTTCAGGTTCAGGTCTTTTCCCCCTTTGCTAATTGAGTTGTTTCCTTACTGCTGAGTGCTGAAAATACTTTCTATATTCTAGACTTAAGACTGTCGTCAGACTTACGAAACACACGCATTTTTCCTCAGGTGTAGCATTGCTTTCATTCTCATAATATACTGCCTTTTTTTGGTGGGGGTGGTTAATTTTGCCAGGGTGCGCATGTGCTTGCTGGAGAGAGACAGAGACTGAAAGAGAGGTGAGAGAGGACTCACTCCCCAGTGGGGCATAGACAGACCGTAATCCCCTCTCCTCCATTTATTTATCTTGTTGGGATTTGAAATACACACACACACACACACACACACACACACACACACACACACCTGGCATGTGTGTCAAGCTGCTGGGACTGGGATTCAAACCACGCAGTGAATTGTGTGGTATCTGGCTCCCATAACCATGAAGCCATTGGGGCCACCCCACACTATCTTCTTTCTTTATTCTTTTATTATTATTATTATTATCATTACACGGTGTGTGCTTGCTGTAGAGAGACAGGCAGAGAGAGAGAGGTAAAGTGACAGATTGTTATTGGACAAGGGAAGCTGAGCTGTGTTGTGTAAAATACTTGGTTCTTTAGGTCCAGATCTTTAAGGTGAGAGACCTACCCTGGAATGCAGATTGAAGCTGTAAACATAAGTAACATTAGAAAAGAGAAGTTTTTCATAGAAAAGTGAAGTTTTGTTTTGTTTTAACAGAAAAAAGAATACACTCCACATCAGAAAGTGGTGTGATTTGGCAGCTGTCTGAGAAGGGCAACTGCACTGGGAATTGGGTTGGGTGTTACTTTTGTTGTGGGGTTTTGTCATGAATATTTAGGAGGGGAGGTCTGTCGTTATAGGCAACTTCTGTGTTTGAATTTGCAGGCTTTTATCTGCTTGCATACTTTTTTCAGATAAAGAATCTGATGACCTGATTACACATGCACAGCGTGGACTTCAAAGGTATGACCATCCACAAAGGGATGACTTTGCACATACCAGTTTCTTGCCCTGGAGGGAAGGTAGGATGTTGACCAAGCATCCTGGTGAATTTCTGTGTGCATATCTGGAATGGCAGGAGGGGAGAATGAAAGTAGATAACCTCTCCTTTCTTGGTGCCAGGGTGGGTCTAACTGCGATCCCTGGTGACAGTGATTGATGTGTCCATGTCCCCCTTGTTGGTATATTGGGACTTGCTGCTCAAAATATCTACCTATAACAAAATCATCCCCTCAAGGGCGTGGCCACGCCACAATCCCTTCTCCCCCATTCTCCTCTCGTGATTTTGGGCACACGTGCACATGTGCCCGGCGTGTTTTTCAAGATGCCAGGTCCAGGAATTGAACTCTACAATCAGTCATGTCGGATCTAGCCACCTTATCCTCCATGCCACCTGCTGGCCCCACATTGTCTTTAACAGAGCCAAGGTTTTAACTTTTTTCCCCAAAGCTTTAAATGTTCAGAAGGTCCAGTTTATCAGGGTTTTTTTGTCTCATGCATCATGTTTATGGTGTGTCCCAGACTTGCTCTTGCCCATCCTCAGTTTGCAAGGATGTTCTCCAATGGTTTCTTCTGAAAGTCTTCTTATTGTATTTTCCGCATTTAGATCTCTGAACCATTTTTGCTTAATTGTATATAACTTGCGAGGTTGATGCTGAAGACAGATTTGTGACTACTCCTCTTGTAAAAGTCTCTCCAAGGATCCGGGGGAGTCACGTATACAATCATTAATCTTGCTATAACAGCCCACCTTTGGTCCAGTGATTATGGGATTCTCCCTACATCCTGACCCTGGCATAACCTCATGTGATGTATTGTAAAGCCTTCTTATCACTGTTTACGTCAGCATTCTTTTCTGCTGTTGCTGAGTCTTTCGCGGACAAAGACTTGTGCTTTTAACTAATTACTAACCTAAGATTTTCTGAAAATCCCTGCTTCTAGATGTTCCACCTTTTGGGGCCACACCAATGTAAAGACTACATATGTTGATTCACAGTTTTGCTTGTGTCTCCTGCTCTCAGAACTCAGTGAAAGAGCTGCTGCACCTAAGCACCCCAGAAGCCTTTCTCAGGGCTACCAGGGATTGTTTTTCTGGACCATGGTCACTCACAGTCAAGCTGTGAAAAAAACACTTTAATTATTTCTACACAGCTTGGTTGTTTCTGTTGCCAGTGTGCACATTTTTTTTTTGGGGGGGGGGAGAGGTTTTCGCTATAGGGCGCGTGCGCTCTCCAGACAGACAGAGAGAGACATAGAGACAGAAAGCGAGAAATCACCCCCCAGGGGGGATGGTCACGCCGCAATCCCTTCTCCTCCATTCTCCTCTCGGGATCTTGGGCACGCACGCACACGCGCCCAGCGTGAGTTTTTTAAGCCACCAGGTCCGGGACGTGAACCGCGGTCGACTACGTGGGAGTCCAGCGACATAGCCGTTACACTAACTGCTGGTTCCCACCAGTGTGCACATTTTTGCACATGGATGTCCAACACCGTTTCGTGGCGAGATTATCCCTTCTCCGTAGAATTCCCTTTTGCATCCCTGTCGAAACTCATTTGGCCATATTTGCGTGGGTGTATATATGGACTATGCTTTCTTCCATTGATCTATTTCGCTTCTGCTTTGTGAGACAGTAGTCCTGATTTCTCCAAACTTATTCTTCTTTTTGAAAAATTGGAAGCTCCACATGGATTCTACAGTCAGCATCTTTATTTATACAGCTTTCCTTCAGGGATCTTCACTGGCATTGTATTATTTCTACAGATCAAGTGTGGGATAGTTGACTTCTTCCCATGTTAGATCTTCCAATCCATAAACATGTTTCTGTCCATTTAATTATGTCTTCTTTGATATCATCCATTAGCATTTTTAGTTTTAGGCATACGGATCTTTTCTTTCGTTAGTTGAATTCATAGCCATTTAATTGTATTTGTAGCTATTACAAAGAGTATTGCTTTTTAAATTTACATTTCCAGTTACTGATCCGATTGTACTTTGTTGACCTTGTCTCCTGTATCGTTGCTAAGCTCAATCACTTCAAGGATATGTGAAAGTTCATGGAATAATGGAATTAAAGTATGATTTTCATTTGGTGGGGGAAAAAAAGTGTGGGAATCCACACATTGTTTTTTCATCATACGCAGTTTCCATGAAGTTTTCGAAGACCTCCTGATAATTCTAGAAGTTTGGGGGAAGATACATTGGGTTGTTCCATGTAGACAATCGTGTGATCTGTGAAAAGGGGGCATTTTATTTCTTCCTTTCGCCTTCGTATGCTGTTTACTTTCCTGGCATTTTTGCGCCGTCCAGGACTTGCAGCGTGAAGTTCAATAGCCTGGTAAGAGTGGACATTCTTGCCTTGTTCACATCCTCAGAGAGAAAACATTCGGCCTTGACCATTATGTAAGATATTAGTGGTAGTATTTTCTGTACATGTCCTTTATCAGGTTCAGTAGGTGGTCTTGAATTCCTAGTGTGCTAGAGGTTTTATGTCTTCAGTGTGTATCCAGTCTGGTCAGATGGTTTTTCTGCATCATCTTGAAATGATCCTTTAGTTTTTCTTCTTCACCTGATCGCTCAAGCTCTGAATTACATTGATTTTCAGATTTGAAATCACAACCGTTGCATTCTGATGTAAAACCCACTTGATGCTAGATTATTTTTCTGTTCATACATTACCGCATTCAAGCTGCTATTTTTATTTGAAGAATTTTGTGCTTCTGTTTAGGAAAACTATTGTTGTACAGTTTTCTTTTTTTTTCTTTTTCTTTTCTTTTCTTTTGAGAGAGGTTTTTTCGCTATAGGGCACGTGCGCTCGCCAGACAGACAGAGAGAGACATAGAGACAGAAAGCGAGAAATCACCCCCCAGGGGGGATGGTCACACCGCAATCCCTTCTCCTCCATTCTCCTCTTGGGATCTTGGGCACGCATGCACACGCGCCCGGCGTGAGTTCTAAGCCACCGGGTCCAGGACGCGAACCGCGGTCGACTATGTGGGAATCCAGCGACATAGCCATTACGCTAACTGCTGGTTCCCCAGTTTTCTTGATATGAGTGCAATGCTAGCCTCATGAAATCAGGTGGAAGTGTTTTCTTAGCTTTGTTTTCTGGAAGAAATCGTACAAAATTGGTGTCATTTCTTCTTCTAATGTTCAGTAGAATTCCAAGTGAAACTTTTGAGCCAAAAGATTGTTTTTTAGACGCACGACAGGAGGAGTGGAGCCGGCACCCACAGCTCGAGGCTGCTAGTGTAGCGACAGGTGCAGCAGCAGGGCAATGGCGACACATGGCCCAGGACTGATCTCTGCCATGCCTAGAGCAGCTGTGCCAGCAGTGCCCGTGATCGTGGCAGCGACAAGATGAAGTACAAGAAATACCTGACGGTGCTGCAGGTGGCCATCAGCGTCATGCCGAGCTGCTCAAGCAGAAGCTATGGGGAGGATTTAATCACATTTGTTAACAAAGAATATCACGAAATGCCAAGCAGTGCAGAGCTGGTGGCCGATGACCCCAGTGATCCATACATGGAGCACGAATTGATCCTGCCAAATGGAGACATTAACTGGAACTGTATGTGCCTTGGGAAAATGGTCAGTGGCCCTTGTGGGAAATAATTCCAGTCAGCCTTTTCCTGCTTCCACTATAGCACAGAGGATGTCAAAGGTTCAGACTGTGTACACCAGTTTGGCACATGCATGCAGAAATACCCCAGACCTCTATCCCCAGGAGGAGGAGGGGACAAGGAGAAGAAGCCAGAAGATCATGTAGGGAAGCCAATCCCACTGAGGCCACTGCATCCAAAGAAGTGGAAGGCTCAAGTCCATGAAGACGTCAGGCTCCAGTCTTTCCACGTCAGTGATATGGACCTTGTGCAAAGTGCCTTTCAGTCACCCTCTAACGAAGCGTCTTTCTATCATACTGTGCACCGTAAACACGATAACTTATTTTGATAATCAGAGGTCTTAGCCCTTTGACATATACACTGAAAAAAAAAAGGGCGGGGGGAGCTCCATGTACATGTGTTCCACATTAATCTTTCAGCAAATGTAGCCACCACGTGGAATTCTCTTTCCTCAGATTGCCCTGATTTTGCCACTTTGAAATAATGTGCTGAATATACTCAGCAACCAATATCAATCTCCAGTAATGTCAATGTCAAGGAAAACTATGAGAAGTTTAAAAAACAAAGTGAGGGAACCAGCAGTTAGCGTAATGGCTATGTCGCTGGACTCCCACGTAGTTGACCGCGGTTCGCGTCCTGGACCCGGTGGCTTAAAACTCACGCCGGGCGCGTGTGCGTGCATGCCCAAGATCCCGAGAGGAGAATGGAGGAGAAGGGATTGTGGCGTGACCATCCCCCCTGGGGGGTGATTTCTCGCTTTCTGTCTCTCTGTCTCTCTCTGTCTGGCGAGCGCACTCGCCCTATAGCAAAAAAAACCTCTCCCCCCCAAAAAAAAATTACCAGTCAACCCAATGGGAATAGGAAAACCTCTTTAGCAAATGGTGCTGGAAAAACTGGGTATCCACCCACAGAAAGATGAAACTGAATCTCCATCTTTCACCAGTAACAAAAATTAACTCAAAATGGATCAAAGATCTGAACCTAAGACCTCAAACGATAAAACTCTGGTGGAAAACACTGGGGAAACTCTGGGAGACATTGGGATAGGCAAAGACTTCTTAAATAAGACCCCAAAGCACAGTCAGTAATCCCAGAAATAGACAAGTGAGATGACATCAGATTAAGAAGTTTCTGCACAGAAAAAGACACAGTTATTAGTGTGACTCGATAACCCTTGGAATGGGAAAATATTTTTGTCAACTATGCTTCAGATAAGGGACTGATAACCAGAATACACAGGGAACTCAAGCGGCTTACCTAAAAAATGAAAAGATGGGGAAATGAGCTGAACAAACAACTCTCTAAGGAAGACATACAAACGGCCAAAAGGCATATGGAAAAATACTCAACATCCCTCCTCATAATGGAGATGCAGATCAAAACCACAATGAGATACCACCTAACTCCGGTCAGAATAAGTAAGGTTAAAATAAAAAACAAAAACAAAAAATGATAAGTGCTGGCTGGGGTGTGGTGAAAGAGGAACTCTCCTACACTGCTGGTGGGAATGTAAATTGGTCCATCCACTGTGGAGAACAATATGGAGATTCCTCAAAGATCTACAAATAGAACTACCATATGAGCCAGCAATTCCACTCCTGGGCATCTACCCAAAGGACAGGAGAATGCTTAGTTGGGAAAGCGCTTGCACATCTATGTTTATTGCGGCATTATTCACAATTGCTAAGACATGGAACCAGCCCAAATATCCACGAACGGAAGAATGGATCGGCAAAGTGTGGCACATACACTCTATGGAATACTACTCAGCCATGAAAATAAACAAAAAAAAAAAGACCCTGGATTTTGAAAGAACGTGAACAAATATGGAAGATTTACTGCCGAATGCAGCAAGCCAGGCTATGAAGCAGAGACATTGTATTTCTCCACTTAGTATATATCAACTGTCCACACTCTATAGTTGAAACTGAAAGATTAGAGGATATAGAAACATGGAAAATGGTTATAGATACCGGATTCAGTGTGGGATGAGGGTGAGAGAAGGAGGAGCATGTCAGAAAAGTCATTATGAAAAATAGAGAGGCAAGACATTTATGGAACACAGAAATGGATTATTATCTGTTGATGATAACCTGTATAGTATCCTCAACTGGACCAGTGAGAAACATATTCATAATGGAAAATTCACTTTACAAGCTAAGTGAGGTATAGTAATTGAATGTATAAGAGAAATTAAAATAAAATACATTTAAAATTTTAAAAGGAACATTTTTCTATGAATATTATTTTATCAATGTCAACTTTAAATGATAGCAAAAATTATACTTATTAGAATGATACGGAGCCTAGGAGAACCAGCAGATGGTGTGGTGGTTAAGGTGCTGGACACTCCCACGTGGCTGACTACGGTTCGAGTCCTGGAGCTGGTGGCTTGGTTTTTCACGTTCTCTCTCTCTCTCTGGTCAAATGAAAATAAATGAATAAATAAATAATTCTTTTCTAAAAAAATAATTATATAGATCCTATTTGCTAAAAGCTGCTTGCAAACACGAAGTTTTTCTGTTCTACCATTGTAAATTGACTATTGGGAAATTTTTTTTTAATCTTTATTTATTGATGTATTTATATTTATATATTTTAATTTGACTAAAGAGGGCCAGGATAGGGAGAGAGAGAGAGAGAGAGAGCAAGTCGCCAGGTCCCGGTCTCGAACCGCAGTCAGCCGTGTGGAAGTCCAGTGCCCTTAACCACCATGCCACCTGCCAGCCCCAGAATGCTGGGAAATGTTACAAGCTGGATTGCAACTCTTTTGCAGCTGTTTTGTGACTTTTCTAGTTTCCTTTGTCTGTAACATCTGCGACCCAGACCATATAACCCCATAACTTACACAAGTCAGGACCCAGGCTCTGGAGTATGAACTCTTCTGGGACTTCTGGCATAATAAAGCTGATTTCTCCTTTAAAAAAAAAAAAGTTATTGTTGTTTATGAGTTTTTATGAGTTTATTCACTTATTTTGAGAGAGTGGGGGAAGTGGGAGGCACCCCCAGTGGAGTGTGCCCAATGTGAGCAGGGAAACCTCAGGACGTGAACTCCAGAACAGTCCACATAGCCCCAGCATCCCAGGGCATAGTGCAAAAAGAACATATTTATTTAATTTTAGTTATTATTATTTTTAAATTTACTATAGGGCACGTACGCTCACCAGACACACACACACACACACACACACACACACACACACACACAATGTGAAAAAGGAAGTCGCCTGGTCCGGGACTCAAACTGGTTGGTCTAATGGGAATCCAGCGCCTTAACCACCATGCCACCTGCTGGCCCCAGCATTGATTTCTTTTGCGCGGGCTTCATGCTACCAATTTGATCTCTAAAAGATAAAGGACCGTGCACACTATTTCATCTTGGCTGAGTTTCAATAGTGTATATTGTTCAAGGAATTGGTCCATTTCTTCTGAGCTATAGAATTTACATAGAGTTATTGGTAGTATGAGCATATTGTCCCTTTTATGTTTTCTGGGTCTGTAATGAAATCTCTCCTCTCATTCCTG